GGGGATCCATGTGCTGTGACTATGGCCACGTCACTGCCACCCTGAGAGGGATGGCTACCCACCGAGGAACGTATCACAAGGATGGAGCAGATCATGCGAGCTGGGCCGTTGGCGCGTGCTGCAGCGCGCGTATTCTGCAATTGCACATATGGGAGGCTTGTCAAACATCCTGAGAGAAATCGAGTGAGTGTGCTGCTGGCTATGTCGGGACTGGCAAATGTGTGGGCCCCGAAGAGGTCAAGTTGTGGAGGGAGGGGGACTAAGGGGCTGCAGAGGAAACGCCGAGCCCCGGGGAAGCACGAGCTCGCTGTCAAGCGCGCGACATATAAGGCTATAGGACCACCCATTTGGGCCAACGTTCAGCTGGATGCGCCAATGGTCTGTTTGCCGCCTGCCGCTCCACGTGCTGAGCCTAGAGAAGTGCCCTCTGTGGAGCAAGCTTGCGCGAGAGAGAGGGAGAGAGAGAGAGAGAAAAAAACAAAAGTGTGTATTCTTTCTTCTTGGTCGTTGGCAAGTGCCAGCGAGCTCGAACGGGTTCCCAGGACAAATCGACAGCACCTGCACTAGACATGGAGGAGGAGGAAAGGGAGGAGGAGGAGGAGGAGGAGGAGGAGGAGGAGGAGGAGGAGGAGGAGGAGGGAACTGACGGAACTGACTATGTTAAGTCCGTCAGAGTACCTGCTCGGCGCGCGGCCGTCGGGCCCGCCCCGACCCCAGGGGGTACACCTTAGGCGATGCTTAAGAAAACCTAAGTTTTCTGCCAGAGTCTCGATTATTCTTAACGTTTCAATGTAAATCTTAAGATGTTAATAGAAATGTTGGGTTTTTATTCAAGTTCTGAGACTGTGAATTTCTTAACCCATGATTTCTTAAGCATTTCGCAGGGTGTACCCCCCCGAGGCCACTCAGGCCTTCCGCGGCTCACGAAAACTCGTTTTCGCGAGCCGCCACCTGGATGAAGATGTACATCCGCATCCTCTTGAGGTAATCGCGAACTGCTTCGCGTACGCATCCAAATCCTGAATGCTCATCTTCTGGCACGAGCCAACCAAGATGAGGCAGACTGTCCTGCGTCGCAACGTGCTTCACAGACACATTCAGATGCAGGATACGAAAACTCCCAAAACGACTCGCAACTGATGAATATCTGCTGCTTCCAAAACTTGCTCCACAGGGCGCCCCAGTCAAGATCCGACTCGGAGATCCCGAACATCTCCTGGCAAATCGCTCTCGAAGTGCTTCTTCACTCAGCTCAAGAGCTCTACCCACGTGCAGCCCCCTCCCTGCTCCTGGATGATCTTGCTCACCTATGCTCCTCGACTTGTTCCAGGAAGCTGACGATGTCGACGCTGTGCAGATCGCGCAACTACTGGGCCTTCTGGGTCTCGTTCTTGACCGGCTCGTCGTCCAGCACCTCCTCAAGAGACGGGAAGGGCGGAATCTCGGGAAGGCCCTCCGATTCCGCGCATTTCTGCCCGACTGGTGTCACTGCCCAGGCGCCACTGCGCGTAGCGCTGCTCCTGGACCGCCTCGGTCTTGAGGAACACCTCCGCGTTGGCCAGCAGGACTCCGCTGAAGTCGTGGTCCTGGCGCTGGCGCTCGTAGCACTGCCTCGTGCTCTCCTCCACCTGGTGAACCTCGGGCTTGAAGATGTCGCCATCCTCGGCCTTCAGCTCGCACTGTTCCTTGAAGTCGTAGCTATCCACGTTGTTGCCCTCCTCCTCGCCATCGCTGTCAGCGAGGTCGTACCAGTCGGTGCGCACATAGCACCCCAGGTAGGCTAGTCCACCACCAGCGGCTCCGAGGACTCCTGCTGCTTCATCGCCTTCTTCACCTTCAGGCTCCTCCTGGAACGCGCCCTGGCACTGCGCGACCTGAGCCTCGCCTGCGGGGGACTTGGTGGCCGCGTGCCATGCCATCCCAGCGGCGCCGGTGCCAGCGGCGGCCCCATCCAGTTGCCTGGGAGCGGGGCAAGCGGCTGGCCTGGTGAGTGCCTCGAGCTGCGCCTCTCCCTCGGTGTCCCGCGCGGAGAGGTCGAAGGCGGCTCCGGGACCTCTTTGTCCTTGATGGCCAGGAGTGTTGGCGCTGGCGACGGCCGCACCGATGGCCTGGCCGTCTGCCTGGCGTTCGGCCCTGGCGCCGTCTCAGCGTCGGCAACCGCTCTCACAGCTGCGGCCACCGCCGGGGCCACCGCGGCTGCCACTGCTGCTGCCACCATCGCTGCCTCCCGGGCGACCGGCGCTGGCCTCTGCCTCCACGGGGCCCTGCCGGCCGCTGGAGTGTCGCCCCATGCCATCGGCTCCGCGCCGCTGCGCCCCCACGATGTGCGCGGCGCGAGGGCGCCCTCTGGCCCGCAGGGGCGGGGAGGAGGAGGAGGAGGAGGAGGAGGAGGAGGAGGAGGAGGAGGAGGAGGAGGAGGAGGAGGAGGAGGAGGAGGAGGAGGAGGAGGAGGAGGAGGAGGAGGAGCAGGAGCAGGAGCAGGAGCAGGAGGCGGAGGCGCAGGAGCAGGAGCAGGAGCAGGAGGCGGAGGCGGAGGCGGAGGCGCGGAGGAGGAGCTGAGGCGGAGGACAGCGGAGCAGGAGAGGGAGGAGCGCCGCCGCCGCCGCATTCTCCGCCGCCGTCGCCGCTGCGCCGTGGCCGCCGCCGCCCGCCCGCCGCGGCAGGACGCCAGGCACGGCGGCGGCGGCGGAGGAGGCCCGGGCCCGCGCGCGCGCGCGAGCAGCCGGCGGCCCGGCCGGCGGGTGGGGCGCCGCCCCCCTCGGAGGCCTTCTGGTCCTCGTCGGAAGCTCGGTCCGGACGAAAGGGGGGGATTGGGAAAGGGGGGGTTACGAAGTTTGCTGCAACGCAGCTGGTTTCGGCCTCACCGAGGGGCCCATTCCTCGATGCATGGCCGCCTCCGGCGCCGGGAGGCGCCGGGAAAAGCAGCTATACGTTGGCTGATTCTCAATCCCCCCCCCCCTTTGCTATCCCCCCCTTTCGCCCGACCCGAGAAGCTTGCGCGCACCCACTCCCAGACCCCCTCGCGTGGCGAACAGCATCACGGCGGGAGGGTTTTCTCGCTATCTTCGGCCTCCGGGGGCCCTTTTGCCGGGCCTCGGGGCCGTCAAGAAAGACGACCCAGGACGAAGAACAGGTCCCGGGGAAGGGGTCCAGACCTCTCGGGGTCGACGTTGTGAACATAATTCAGGAGGGAAAGAAACACACAGACACAATTAATCCTCGATTCCCCAGAAAATATGGGAAAATATGGGAAGTGGGCGGGAAGACAGAAACCCAGAAAATATGGTAAAATATAGGGGATTATTTTATTTGTGTGCATTTATTTGTGTGTCCTGGGGCCCCTTCAAAGGACCTCCCATGGTCGACCCATTGAGCGTACCCATGAAGCAGCGCCCAAGCTCCACGCCCAAGGGCCACCATCCTCAGCGGGAGGACGCCGTCACCAGTGCGATCGGCATGGGTACGGAAAGAATGGGCACGAGCACCAGCACCGGCTCCTGCCCATTGGGACGGGGTTGGCTCTGGGTGTCGTCGCGGGAGTCGTCCATTCCATATGAGACGAAAAGGTCGCCTGCCCCAAAGCGGCTCGGTTTGGGACAACATTCGCTGTTGGGCATGGTACCAATTTTTTCCATACCCATTTCGGGCATCCAAATCTGCATTCGCCGTCTCGGCACGCGTTTTTTTGTTTCTGGCGAGAGGTTTTTCTTCTGGGCCTCCCAGCTAGGGTCGGGAGCAGATGTGGTCGGAGGCTCGCGTCGCATCACCGATGCACCGTCGATGCATCGACGACGCAGCTCGACGTGGAGCCCGACTTTCTCCACGCCGACGTCGCCGATGCATCGGCGATGCGGTGCAATCTTCCAGCCCCATCGACTCGGACCCCGTCTAGGAGGCCTCCAGTCCTGCGCTCGAGATGCCACGGGGCTCGTTCGAGCGCGGCGCGCTTCGCCCGCAGGAAGAGCGGCTGCGGCCGCGTGGTGCGCAGCAGTGCTTGGCGTGACCGGGCTTTGCGGGGGTGCGCCGCCCCTTTCCGAGGCTTGCCTCAACAAGGCAGTCTTGGGGGGACCGGTGGGCGGGTGAGAAGACTCCACGACGGCGATGCCGGCGTCTCAGTTTCAGGAGTTTTTGCATGTGTCCGGAGGTTTTGGTCACCGCGGCTGGGCGCAGCTCGACAAGCTTGCCAGGATGATTGGACCCCGGGGGGGTCTGGGAACCGATTTCGAGGGGAGCGTGGCCGGTCCTCCACTGTCCTCCTCCTCCTCCTCCTCCTCCGTGTCCGCATCCTTCCTCCTCCCCTCCGTTTCCCTTCTTCTTCTCCCGTCGTCATTCTCAGTCGCTCCGCTTACGGCAGCCACCGCGTCAGCATAGCCTCAGAGCGGATGATTTCCGGCGGCCCTCACGTACAGCGGAAGCCCATGCCAACAAGCACCCTGCTTGCCTCCAGGGTGCCCTGGGTTTCTCGGGTTTCGATGGTTCTGCTTTTGACGGCGCGACTTTCCCAAATCGGGGGTCTGGGGAATGCGTTTCAGGAGGAAAAGAAACACACAGATACAATTAATCCTCGATTCCCAAGAAAATATGGGAAAATGTGGGAAGTGGGGGGGAAGACAGAAACCCAGAAGATATATGAAAATATGGGGAATATGTTCATTTGTGTGTCTTTCTTTGTGTGTCCTGGGGCCCCTTCAGCGTTGCTTGACACAGCTGCGTGCGGCGCACGGTCAGGAGCGTCTGTTTGCCGTGTCGCTCCGCCGGCTCCGGCCGACCACGGTGCGCCGCGAGACGCGAGCCGCGCCCCAGTCCCCAGGAGACAACGCCCCGAGCTCTTTCCCGCCTCCCGCCCCCGTGGAGCGGAGCGATACGCCATCCGCTTGCTACGCATGACGCGTCGCGGGCCGCCGCATCGACACGCTCAGCAACACGTCCTGACCGTCAGTCGGTACCTCCAGGCCTCCTCGCGGTGAACTTAGCTCCTCCCAGACAGCGCCCCCCCCCCCCCCCCCGACGCAGTTGCGTTTCCAGACCCCCGCCTGGAGACTTCGCAGGCATTTGGGTTCAATCCAATCCGCATTACCTTGACCCACTCACTCCACTGTACATCAGCCGAAGCTGAATTCTTGTTCGAACTCTCCGCCTCTGAGTTTTAGGAATGCTGGTCCACAGGGCGCCCAGTTGCCTGTGGTTGGTGGTGCTGTGTCTCCGAAGCTTGCCCACCGCGACCTCAGTCCAGCTGCACATGAACACCGACACGATCACTAACATGACCACGCCTTCTTATCCTGCGGAGCCGTACTGCTACAACGTCAACGGCGTCTGTTTCATCTGGGCTTCTCCATGCTCTGGCGTAGTTTGGTGCGGCGAGCTCAATGCCCTTTCTACTTATGACTGGTTCTGCCCTTGGGGGTTGCGCTACGCCACCCAGTCTGAGTGGGATGCTGCATACGCCACTCTGGACTCTAACAGAGACACGTTCTTCCAGAAATGCGCAGCCAGTCAGCTGGACCCGCGGCACGACCACTGCGACTACTACAACACTTTCGTGCGGGAGCCGGACAACTCATACAACGAGCTGGTCCTGGTGTGCCCCCCAGCGGGCACCGCGACGCCCAGCCCGACGCCCAGCCCGACCGTGGCGGCCGGCTCGCCGACGGCCAGCCCGACGCCCAGCCCGACGTTCGACCCGACGGCGGTCGGAACCGGTGCTTATCCTGCGGAGCCGTACTGCTACAACGTCAACGGCGTCTGTTTCATCTGGGCTTCTCCATGCTCTGGCGTAGTTTGGTGCGGCGAGCTCAATGCCCTTTCTACTTATGACTGGTTCTGCCCTTGGGGGTTGCGCTACGCCACCCAGTCTGAGTGGGATGCTGCATACGCCACTCTGGACTCTAACAGAGACACGTTCTTCCAGAAATGCGCAGCCAGTCAGCTGGACCCGCGGCACGACCACTGCGACTACTACAACACTTTCGTGCGGGAGCCGGACAACTCATACAACGAGCTGGTCCTGGTGTGCCCCCCAGCGGGCACCGCGACGCCCAGCCCGACGCCCAGCCCGACCGTGGCGGCCGGCTCGCCGACGGCCAGCCCGACGCCCAGCCCGACGTTCGACCCGACGGCGGTCGGAACCGGTGCTTATCCTGCGGAGCCGTACTGCTACAACGTCAACGGCGTCTGTTTCATCTGGGCTTCTCCATGCTCTGGCGTAGTTTGGTGCGGCGAGCTCAATGCCCTTTCTACTTATGACTGGTTCTGCCCTTGGGGGTTGCGCTACGCCACCCAGTCTGAGTGGGATGCTGCATACGCCACTCTGGACTCTAACAGAGACACGTTCTTCCAGAAATGCGCAGCCAGTCAGCTGGACTCGCGGCACGACCACTGCGACTACTACAACACTTTCGTGCGGGAGCCGGACAACTCATACAACGAGCTGGTCCTGGTGTGCCCCCCAGCGGGTACCGCGACGCCCAGCCCGACGCCCAGCCCGACCGTGGCGGCCGGCTCGCCGACGGCCAGCCCGACGCCCAGCCCGACGGCCGGCCCGCTCCCGTCGGGCGGGACCTCGGGCGGGACTGGTGGGCCCGGACAGGTGGACCCGTCTGGAAAAGGCGATCCCCACCTGCAGAACGTCCATGGTCAGCGGTTCGACTTGATGAAGCCGGGCAAGCACGTCCTGATAAACATCCCTCGCGGACAGCGCGCTGACAGAGCACTTCTTCGCGTGCAGGCCTATGCGCGCCGACTGGGTGGGTGCGCGGATATGTACTTCCAAGAACTGAATGTTACTGGGTCTTGGGCAGAGTTCCAGCAAGCTGGAGGATACCACTACACCGTATCGGACCCATCTACTAAGAAAGCGGAATGGCTTGCCTTTGAGCAGGTGGAGCTGAAAGTTGTTCATGGACGGACGAAGAAGGGTCTCGAGTACTTGAACTTCTACGTCAAGCACCTGAGCAAAACCTCGTTCTCGGTGGGAGGCTTGCTGGGAGAGGACGACCACACGGCAGTGACGATTCCATCGAAGGAGTGCTCCCGGCGTGTTGCACTCATGGAGACGCCATTGGGAGGCACAGATGGCCGCGCCGAGTCCTCCGTTGCGGTAGCAAGCCCGTAGGCGACCGCGGCCACGATCACGCGGCTGTGCAGCAGCCGTCCTCCCAGCCTGGGTGCGCGGGCCTGGGAGTCCCAGGCCCGCGCACCCAACGGGCGGGTGTCGCTGGCACCACGGAGGGTGCCGACCGCAGCCCGCACTGACGGCAGTCTGCACCGACTCTGCTCGGACTCGTGCTCCGACTCTGCAATAGGAAACAACCAGATCAGGAGAGAAACATTCGGCGGCGAGCCCAGGGGGGGAGTGAGAAAGGGGCGGACCTTCTCAGAAGGCACAGAAGTCCCCCAGCCTTCTGAGAAGTTTTTGAAGCCTTTCCCGAACACGCAAGAATTATCAGAATGCTGGAGGCTTTCTGAAAAGTTTCGTCGCCTTCTGAGAAGGCCTTCTTCTTCTTCTGACTTTCCCTCCGCGCCTGCCGCCGAAAGATAGACACAGACACAACCAAACGTCGATCTCCAGAAACGGATGAGAAAGTATGAAGCGGCGGGGGCATACGACGCTCCACAAAGCATGAAGACTTCGGGGGGATCCTGGAATCTGTGTTGAGTCGGGCCTGTCCCTCTAGAGAAGGGATATCCAAAAATAGTCAAACAATAGTCGGGGGACGATTTTTGTTTTTTTTGGTATTGTTGATGACTTTCGGGGTATTTTACCTAACAGCTTTTGCTGATAGGTTTCTAGTGGTGTCAAAAGAGAGCATATTGACGCCCCAGGGGGGTCTGGGCGGGAACCGGATGCGGGAACCGGACAAAACCAGCAGCCCCAGGAATCTTTAGGAATCCTTCGAAATTCTTAAGGATCCTTAGGAATCCATTCCCAGAACACCATTCCTAGGCCACATTTTGAATGCCCGGAGCCAAATGTAGGCCACTTCGTGTTCTTCGTGTTCCCAGAACACCATTCCCAGGCCACATTTTGAATGCCCAGAGACAGCTATAGGCCACTTCGTGTTCTTCGTGTTCCCAGAACACCATTCCCAGGCCACATTTTGAATGCCCGGAGCCAACTACTGTAGGCCACTTCGTCTTCTTCGTGTTCCCAGACACCATTCCCAGGCCACATTTTGAATGCCCGGAGCCAACTGTAGGCCACTTCGTGTTTTTCGTGTTCTCAGAACACCATTCCCAGGCCACATTTTGAATGCCCGGAGCCAGCTGTAGGCCACTTCGTGTTCTTCGTGTTCCCAGAACATCAGTCCTGTGCCATATTTTGAATGCCCGAGCTGAGGCAGGCGAGGCCGAGGCAGGCTGAGGCCGAGGCAGGCTGAGGCTGAGGCTGAGGCACGCCGAGGCAGGCTGAGGCTGAGGCAGGCTTAGGCTGAGGCTGACGCAGGCTGAGGCCGAGGCAGGCTGTGGCTGAGGCTGAGGCAGGCTGAGGCTGAGGCAGGCTGAGACTGAGGCTGAGGCAGGCTGAGGCTGAGGCTGAGGCTGATGCAGGCTGACGCTCAGAGGCTGACGCTGAGGCTGAGGCAGGCTGAGGCTGAGGCTGAGGCCGAGGCAGGCTGAGGCTGAGGCAAGCCGAGGCAGGCTGATGAGGCTGAAGGCAGGCTGAGGCTGAGGCTGAGGGCTGCAGGCTGAGGCAGGCTGAGGCTGAGGCTGATGCAGGCTGAGGCTGAGGCTGAGGCTGAGGCAGGCTGAGGCTGAGAGGCAGGCTGAGGCTGAGGCCGAGGCAAGCGAGGCAGGCTGAGGCTGAGGCTGATGCTGAGGCAGGCTGAGGCTGAGTCAGGCTGAGGCTGAGGCTGAGGCAGGCTGAGGCTAAGGCAGGCTGAGGCTGAGGCCGAGGCAGGCGAATCCTACGGAATCCTTAGAATTCCCTGGGATTCCTTAGGAATCCCTAGGAATCCCTAGGAATCAGGTTTACTAAGGATTCTCATGGATTCCTAAGGATGCCTAAGGATGCCTTAGGAATCCCTAGGAATCCTTAGGATTCCATTGGATCCTAAGGCCGTTGCCACTGCGACTGTCATTGCGAATGCGATTCGACTGCGAGAACAGCAGAATTCTACAACTGGATTCTCACCTGAATCTTAAGGGGAATGCTTCCAGATATGCTTATACACATCGCTGTTAGGTTGCTTTGCCGGGATAAGTTTAATCTTTCGGACAGCATCCCCCTGTAGGGGGACAGGCCCGACCTAAAGTTTGTGCGCACCCGTTTCTGCCTTCCTTGGGCCCCCCTTGAGCGAAAGAGCCCCGGCGGTGGCGCGCCCCCGGCGCCTCCCGCCGCGAGGGCCCGCTCCAGGACGCCCTCCGCGGGGCGCGGCGCCGAGCGGGTGCATGCAGCGGGGGGCCGAGGGCCCAGGCTTAGGTCGGGCCTGGTCCCCCTGCCAGGGGGATTTTGGACGAAGGATAAGAGCGTGCCCAGAAAAACATCAAACATAGGCAAACATAGTAAAACAAAAATCGTCCCGATCTTATGTTTGGACTGTTTTAGAACATCCCTTCTGTAGAGGGACAGGCCCGACTTAACAGTCAACCCGCATGGTGAGGGTGGGCAGCCCTCGCATCCTTGCCCCTTCGGCCCATCCTGAGCGAGCGACTCTCGCTGGCCAGCCGCGTTCGAGAAGCGCTCACGTGGCCCTCCAAGGCCCCTGCATCCTTACCGCACATCCTCCTGATACTGGTCGACTGTGTTAGAGAGGCCTTACGGCCAGCGCCGCCGACCCTGAAGGGGCACGACGACGACGACGAGGCCCTGCGGTGCCTCTATTCGTAAGTCGGGCAGTTCCCTCTACAGGAGAAGTGTTCAACAACAGTCAAAAAATAGCCAGGGGACGATTTTTCTTGTATTTTTGACTATTCTTGAATTTCTGGAATCTATTTGTCATTTCCTCCAGCATCCGCCTGTAGGAGGACATGCCCGACCTAACCCTACTCGTGCGGGCGCTGGCCACAGAACCCTATCCATGCGGGGACCGGACCCGCCGTTCGGCCCGCGACTCGGGGGAATCTCGCTCGACTTGGCATCAGATTGGACCTGCCGAGGCCGGCGCCTCTCGGGGGAACGCCCCGCTCTCTGGGCCAGGGCCGAGGCCCAGGGGGGAGGGCCCCTCCCCCCCCCACCCCTCGCGCTCCCCGCCCTCGCCGCGGCACGCGAACGAAGGGAGGGCCGGACGTCGAGAGGAGCCCTGCCCGCGCGCAAGGCGTGCCGTCGAGGCGCGGGCGTGAAGAGCACCACGCCTTGGGCTCCAGGAGGGGGGGCTCTCGGCTCTCCGGTGGTCGGGCCCGTGCCC